CACTATACATAAACTTCAAAGGGACACAGATAGCATCAGGTAGGCTTTAGAGACCATTACCTTGGTGTGACCAAATTTATACTGGGTGTGGTCAATTTCGATGGATGCAAGGAGCTTCTCAGAAGCCTTCTTGCTGTCAATGAACTGTCCTTCGGGGATAGCACTTGCATTTAATACCTTGTATCTGTTTAAGTAAATATAGTTTTTTTTTAATTGGTTTATGATGACACTAATAGCAGATAAACATTAAATGACCTATTTAGAGAATCAGAGCTTTAAAGAAAAGTATCCTTCTTTGTTTGCAGGAAGGACTTTGTATACATAGATGGTCAGGTCATCAACAGTTTTCATTCCATTCCACCCTCCTGCACAGTTGCAGACTTTCCTTTCTGCTTCATCAGACCTTATTCTCAGGAAAGCATCCCATGATCTTGTTCATGTTAAGATGTAGATGACCAGTAAAATGTGACATGTTTTCCTGGCTAGATTCATTTGCTTTTTATGATCCCGAGTCCCAGAAAGCAAATTTTTAGTGAGGAATCTGGTAGGAAGGTTCAGTTCAGGTAGGAGGAACTGTTCCGATCACCCAAATTCATGCGTAAGGGTACTTCGGGTTTTGCACACTGAAGTTCTCTGCCCCACTCCACCAGACCCAGCCTTAGGAAAGGCCAGCTCCCTGGAGCTGCCGCCAGCCCTTTGTCCCTTTGCCTCTTATTTGATTCCCAAGATGGACTTATCTAGGGAGGAGAAGGAGTTGCTCAGGAGCTGGTATGTGACGGGGTTCTGGAAACCCTGGGAAACCAGTGAGTGAGGGAGGGAGACAAAGGAAGTGATAGAAAATGACTCACTGGGAGCTCTGTACCTGCCTGGGAGAGTTCCTAACCTAGCCACCAACACCCATGTGACTTTGGGCAGGTAGCTTAATCTCTTGAGCCTCAGTTTATTCATCTATAAGAGGAGGTATTGCTAGTACTTACATATTACACATGAAAAAATGGTAGTTCTCCTAATCACTGAAGTTAATGTGTATATCTATGGGCTAAGCCGGGAGCTCAGTAAAGCCCACAAAAAGTCTGGAGTACAAAATAGGTGGTATATCTATATTTTAAAGGTGTTTTTGAGGCTTATGATTTTTCAGTCTTTGTGGCAAATTAAACATGTATAGAGGCATATTTTTTTCAGTAAATTGTTTTGCTTGCAGTAAATGTATTTATACTAAACTTCAAGATGTACCATAATTCAGAGAGTCTGACCTCTGTTTGAAATCTGCATAAAGGATCCTGCTTGGGAACCCCTTCCTGCAGATGCGGATCCCTTCCAGCACACCGTTACACCGCAGCTGGTGTAGGACAAGTTCATGCTCCATGGCCCCTAAAAGTATACATTTGGATTACACTGCAGAATTGTTGCTGTTTTTTTAAAAGAGGTATGGCAGTCATGCTTTGTGCCTTCACTCTAGAGCTTCTTACCGGGAGTTTTTGTTTCATTGGGGATGATACAGCGCACAAAATGAGGATGGGTACTCCTGAGGTTGGTCATCAGTTTGTTCAAATTCTCCTGTGAAGTCAGGAAAAAGCCCATTATCTCCAACTTTAGCCATGGTTGTGGGCATTTGGTGATGTCTGTAAACTCAATGTTTATGGCTGAGTTGAATGACCAGTATGGCCCATTTCCATGTAAGGTAATACCTTGCTATCCTTCTCCAGAGAGGCAGATTTCTCCTCATTACCTCTTTCTCCACTTGAGTTGGCAGGAGTTACACATGAGAAGCAGCCTGACACAGGTCCTACTTCCTCCCTGGTGCATGGCCTCCCACATACACTCACAAGGCTATTGCCTTCTTATACAAGATGGCCACACTTTCTTCTACCCAACTCCATGGTTCTCCAATGAGGACATGCAAGCCTGCACCACACTGGAGCTTTTTCTCATAGTTCCCCTTTCCAACCCAATTAACTCTCAGGGCATAAATGTTATCTAAAGGGGAACAATCTTACCGCTATAATTGGGGACTGACTGGATTAAGGACAAGGATACCGTATTAAGTTCCTTATAGGCTAGCTGCTAGATTTTCATTAGCTTTACTGTTAATTTAATTTCTCTGAGTACTGTGTCACTCATTGCTTAGTTTTGTGACAAGACTAGACTACGAATGGTAGAATATTCAGTTTTATAATATTTCCTGTAAAATATTTGGCATTATGTGGCTCGACATGAAAGATGAGCTAACAATTTGAGTAACTTAAATGTTTTCTCTCTAAAACTAGATTAACAGATATCATTAATCAATGTCAGTCTTTTTCCTCAATGACTTGTGGAAAGAACTCTGTGCTTTTAAAAACAAACTCCTAAAGTAAGTGGGGAGTGTCAAAAACAGTTTCTTCCTTACTCTGAAAAGGGCAGACACCGTCTGGAAAGAAGAGCCCTTCTTCTTGCCACCTTTCTTGGCACCACTCGCCTCTGGAGAGCAAATAAGAAAAGGTGTCATTCAAGTATAGTTTTGAACTGACAAAGCTATTTCTTGCTTATTTATTGCCAGTTTCTGCACGCATCTGATGGAGCAATTTTTGGACACTACTGGCCTCTCTCTTGGAGCCAAATGACTCTTAGCTGTCAACTAAGCTTGTATCTACTTTTCTGTGATTTTTTTCTCCATTAGAAGATGAAGTGAAGGGCATTCACTTCACTGTATAAAAATGGATCCTTAATGTTAGGACAGGTGGGGACAAAATAACTTCAAAAATCATCAATAGAAACTAGTCTAGATAGGCAGAAGTTTGTCACTCCATTGCCCTAAATATCCCCAGATATTCAATATCCAGCAGATGTGGAGGAAAGAGTAGGAGAGAATCATAGAGGCTGAGGCCTTTCATTCGTTGAGGTCATAACAGTTCGTCTCTGACCTTTTGCAGTAAGGCAGGCCTCTGTCAGTGCCAGAGTGAGACACAAATGTATAATTGCAATGCAGCCTAGTTAGTCAAAACTTGGAAAAACAATGGATCTGGCCTGCAATCCTTCTGGCAGGGTTATGAGATCAGCCTCGATCTAACAGCACTTTTTGGAATACCTAGAGAAAGTGTTAGATTTTTTGAGTGTTACCTGCTTCAGCAGTTTGAGCCCCAGAGAAGAGGTTAGCTAGAGTTTTCATTGCAGACTTCTGGTACAGCCCGACCACGGTCTCGTTCAGGGGGTCCTTGTTCTTGTCCAGCCAGCCACCAATGTTGTAGTCCACGGTGCCGGCGTAGTGGATCAGAGAGAAGTGCGCCTCAGGCTTGCCTTTTACAACCTTGGGCTTCTGGAAGTTGGCCGACTTGCCCAGGTGTTGGTCATACAGCTTGTTCTTGAAGGAGGTGTCTGTGGCCTTGGGGAACATGCACTCCTCTTCCAGGATAGAGAAGATGCCCATGGGCTGGATTAAAGCAAAACAAAATGCGTATAGGGTAAATATGAGCCGTAGGATGAGCCAGAGTTTATGAGAAGATGTTACTGAGAGGACAGATCAGGAGACCTTCTCGATGAGCTCGATGCAGGCAGC